TTTTTTTTTTTTTTTTTGTGTGTGTGTGTGTGTGTAATTTTATTACGCTTTAAAATTGGTTTCTAAGGGAGGACTTTCTGAGGGAAACTGGCTTGTATACACATTACATATGGGTAAAGTCACGAAAACACTGATGCGGGCAGCTTGTTCGTGGGATTCGAATCTCGGACCATACTACCTGCGTTCAGCGACTCTACCGCTCGGCCACTGGTGGGCTTATTAGCAGAATTATACTGTATTATTATTTTATTATGCTATAAAGTAACAATGCTATAAGACTGAGACATATCTTTAGAATTTCCGATACATAGTTTCGCGCGCTAGAGACGAAAATGTCTTTTTTGTACTTTTTTGTTCATGGAAAAGTACTTTTGTAATCCATTAGTATTAAAAAATTCATTGTTTCTTTGCAAACTTGAAAAAAAAAAGATACTGTTCATAGCAGAGTTCTCATTTTTATATTGTAAAAGAGATATTGATTATTATTAGTTTGCTATTTAAGTGTCGAAACGCTGGTTGGTTTGACAAGGACTTCAACTGCAGAAAAATATTTAAAGAAACAGTGCGAATCTGGAAAAAAATCACCTTCAGTATATTTAAAAAACACTGATAAATTTATAAAATAATCTGAATTAATATAAAAGATTTTCTTATATGAAATTATCTAAGTGCATTTAGTTACAATATTATGAACGCGAATATTGTTTTGTGTAAAGGTAAAGAAAATATGTTTTCGTGCTAAATTAATTAATGGATTATTTATTTTGAGAGGGAAAAAAAATGCACGAAAATCCGAGTTTAAATTATCGCGAAAAGTCAAAGAAACGTTTTGTCAAAGAACGATTAATCTTAACCCGTGTTCTTCAATTTCCTATATACGTCGTACATTGATTATTTTTACTTTGGTACTTGCATTGTGAAAATAATATTACTATCTTTTAATTATTTTCACATAATAAAATCTTTTGAAAAGGAAGAATATTTTAAATAAGCAGTTTTTATATATATAAGAAATTAAAATAACAGCAATATAATGTTAAAAAAATATATTAGTAATTGTGTGACAAAATTACAATACGAATTAATCACACATACAGGATAAATTAGTATAATGTTGGTATATATTTTATATTGAAAATATTTTCTTTCATGTTAATTATAGAATAAATTATTTAAAATAAAATTGATGCGTGTGTGATAGCTGAATGCAGCAGCAATCGGCCGTACTGTAATAGCGAATGAATTTTAGTCCTTTTCCTGAAAGAAATAATTTTAAGAAAAAGAAATAAAAAAAAAAAGGAAGAAATATTTTCTTTCTAATTTCTTACTTAAAGAAATATTTTTCTAATATTAACTGTAAAATAAAATGCGTGAAAACAGCTTAATGTAAGCATATTTAAAAAAAAAAAAAAAAAAAAAAAAAAAAAAAGAGGACTTAGTTTGCAATTAGATTGTAATGCAAGTTAATCATATTATAAATTTAAATGAATAAAATTGTTTATTTCTAAAAAGATTTGAAGTAAGCTTAATTCATTTACTCTTATCTATTTACCGTTGCTTTCATGGTATCCCATATCACTCTATATTTCTTAGTCCTAAATTCCTGCATTAACTTTCCCCTTAAAAAACGGATAACATAGCAGCATATTCTGCTGCGTGTTGGTATATACTGTTTTGTGCCATTTTTTTCAAAACTACAAATGCAGCGCGTGGGTTAGTGAAATAATAGAAGAATATTCCTAGAACTTCAGCCAGCGCGCGCTATAAATTTCGTCACTCGTCTGTACTGCGATTGGTCTAAAGCGCCTTGAAGCCTTGTCCCCTTTCAGTAAAGTCAAATGGACCCACCCGCCCACCAACTGAGGACCACAGAATGGCTTTCTCCAGTAAGTTGTGATGGGTTGTCCATACCGGTTTTTTTGAATCAATATTGTTCGCTCAAGTTGTAGACAGATCCAGTGATCATACAATAGGCGTCCTGGAGAGACGCTCGCGGAAGACACTGCCGGCCTCCGCAATAAGCGCGCGTTTTCGCTACCCGGCTCGAAGGGGTTAAATTCCCTGACTTTTCCCTGAATATTTTGGTCAATTTTCGAATTCCCTGACTTTTTCCAGTTCTCCCGGTTTTCCAGGTAGCGTGGCAACCCTGTGTCATGTTCTAACAGTTTTAATTTTTTTTTAAATGTAAAAATTACAGTATCTTACTTTTCACACATGCCCCCAGTCCCTATACTTAGGAAAATTTTAACACAACATTAAAAATAATAAATAAATAAATAAAATTTAAAAAAAAATACAGAATCCTGTACAGTAAAAATTAACTAAGATATTCATTTATAAAAAATATAAATATTTTCCCATATGTAATTTATTTCTTTGGTAAACACTAGCATATGAAAATTATTAGTTTTAGGATTTGATCCAGATATAAAAAAATTACCTAAGAAAACCATGTTCTAATAAGATAGATGTGGTGTTTTTTTTTTTTTTTTTTTTTTTTTTTGTGCAGAACAAATTAAATCATGGTGCAATATTTGATGTTTCAGCATAGAACGATATTTAGGTTTATAAGAAATGTTACAGCTGAAAAAAATTGTTTCACATATGTATGTAGTACTGAACGGCAGAAGATCATTTTTGAAATTTGGGGAAATTCAGTTTGAGACCTCATCTAAAATTCAGTCGAGGATTTTTGTGGAAACTCAAATTTTGAGTTTGTATTATTCAAGAGCTCAAAAAATTTGTCTTGGGCATCAGCCCTATAGCAGATGATTAATCTACCAACACAAAACTGAGTTTATAGGGGTTTTAAGTGATCTCTAATAATTTTTGCAGTTAAGTTTTAGAATTTTATTCGGTTATAAAATTGTCGATAGTCGAAATATTTCGAATGAATCATTTTCCTCCCTATTGTTTCAAATGTTGATCTTTTTCACAAAATTTTATTACTCAATGTAAATATTCTCTTGAAGACTTTTTTCCTGGAACACAGAGACTGAGATCGTTTAGTTCCTCAAAAATATGTGATAAATAGCACAGTTTCGATAGCTTTTATTTTGAAAAAGAGCAGCAAGATAAGACTTGAAAATTCTATCTTTTAATAACAATAATCTTAAACTTGGCCCTCTTGACATCCATTTTATTTTGGTGTATTAATAAACTTTTGTAGTCGAGTTCATATCTTTGCAGAGATTTGAAAATAAATGGCTGTCAAGGGCACGACTTTTAATACAGTTTAAAATTTTGCTAGTATGTAAGTAAATAAGTAATATGCTTGAATTGATCTTTGCTAATTTTAAAAATTTGATTATTGATGGTATCGTTTTACAAAAGAATTTTCTTAATCTCACTATCTTACTGCAGTGAAGTATTTCAGCCATTTTTAAGAGTAGTAGGTAATCCGAAATCTTCTCCAATGGTGCATGGCTTTTTACTTTAGCACCAGATGCTAAAAATATATGAAGCATTCTTTGTTAACAGTTATAAATTTCTCAAAATTTTGTTCTTTCTGTGAAGATTTTAACAGTCATTTAAAATATTCTTTCGGTTTACTGATATATAAAAGATGCTCGTATTTAAGATGCTTTTCAATTTGGATGGTTTCATACTTTTCAAAGCTGAAACATTATTGCATTAAATACAGAAATTGTTCATTACCATCAGTTAAAAAAGTTAAATCAAATTTTAGATATGTGTATGTGATTATGGCAATGTATGGTATGTATGTGAATATGGTATGTGTATGTGATGCCTTTGTGGGAGACTTTCTAAGGGAAACTGGCTTGTATACACGTTACACATGGGGAAAACCACGAAAACACCCATGCAGCCAGCCCGTTCGCAGGATTCAAACTTCGGACCAAACTACCAGTGTTCAGCGACTTTACCGCTCGACTGCTGGTTGGCCCAAATTTTAGAAATGTCTCATCAAAATTTTCACACCTTAGATGCCCCTTTTTGATTTTTATAGAGCCTGCTTGAAGAGACTTTTTAACATTTCCATCTGTGTCATCACTTTTGTAACTCAAGTTTAACCATGGGTAAACAATACTTTTATCCAAAAATATAAATAAAATAACACCTTCATAATAATTATTTAAATTAGCAACCTCAGTGAAATAAAATAGTAAAATATTTTATTGTTCTTGTGATGTACACAGTTTTTGCAATGAAACAGAATAATGGAAGGAGGCATTTTAGTGGCATTTTTCAATATGTAAAAGATAATGAAGGGATTGCAAGTAAAGTTTCTTTAAATTAATATAGTAGAATTAATTTTTGCGACCTCCAACATTTTGCTTTATGACCCCATTTAAACTGTGGGCCCATTCGCAGCCCACAGTTTAAGAAAAATTGATCTTAAGTAATGACATTTCAGGAGAATATTGATAACACAATTTTAATGTTTGAATGCTTATAAATTACTCATGTGAAAATTCTTTCGGCATACCAATTTTAACAAAATTATAAATAAATAATGTTATATGCTAGTAAATTACAAAAAGACTATTCCTGAATGGCATTTGAGGAGGAAAAAATCCACCTCAAATTACTCTAATATATTATTAACCAATCCTTTAAAACAGAAAATGAGGTAAATATCCAAAATTTAAAATTATATATTTTAGCCCAATTTTTGTCATATGGGTGTCAAAGCTACAATTTTTTATTTTTATGATGAGAATAAATTTTTTCCTAAATTTACGTATACTGACCAGACGACCTTATTAAAAGTCAGATTTAGTTACTTTCATACAAGTATTTTTTTAATTAAAAAATATGAAAATTTGCATCATTTACTTTTTGTACTTGAAGTATATGTGACTACCAATCATTACAAAAATACAGACTGGTAAGAACCTTTTTGGACATGATGTTTACTAAATTATTTACTTAATTTTATCACTATTCTCAGCACTGATCAACTTTCATGATACATAATTTTTTAAAATATGCATTCATTCAATACTATCTTCATTAATTAAAATTAACATAATTACCAATTTTAGGTGCATTTGTAGATACTGTTCTTTTCTGACCAACAGTCATTTTCAAAACACCTTGATATGCTAATGGAGGTCCTTTTTTCTTAAGCCCATCCATTTCATTAACAACTGTTGAAGTTGGGACATCATCACGAATACTTTTGGTTGATGGTCCTAATCGTTCAAAAACCGAAGATGAAGCCTAGCGATAGAGATTAATTTATACAACGAGAAAATAAATAAAAGCATAAGATGAATTTTATAGAAAACTGAAACTTGTCTAAATATTTTGAAAGCATTAACATAGAGAAAAATACTTACCATAAAAAATAGAAAATTATACATATAAAATTTACTTTAACATATTTACAGCAGCTTTTTAGATTATGTTAAAAAGTAATGCAGAAACTATGCTTTATAACATTTATTATTACAAGGACTTCAAAAATCACAAACATGAAAGGTAAGGGCATAACACATAAGAGGGAGAGAGAAATGAAAATACCTCATTTTAATGTTTTTTACTAAAAATATAATCTGATACATCACTTTTACACTAGAGATATCAGAATAAAGTAATTATATTTGTTTAGAAATTTTTCAATCACCAATTTTATTAATATTATGCATAAATTGATCTTAAAATTTCCAAAATGTTGACAAGTCTCCATATCTGGCAGTGAACAAAAAAAATAATTCTTATACCAAAATGGGAAAAACTTGTTTTTCCATTTAATGTACAGGATGAATTAGAATAATAAGCTGAACTTGTCAAGTCTATATTTTAAGCATGTGCCTCTAATACAGATCTGAAGACAAATCACCAAACTGGTACATACATTTTTGTGCTTTACCCGCCTTAGAAAAAAATTGAAAAAGAAGAAAATGAACTTTATGCATGTGATGATGTAGTTTTTGTAGAAAGAAATTAAACCATAGTCATGGCTAAGAAAAATTGCTGTGTAGCTATGACAGAACGAAAAAACACAAATGGCTTGATAGTTAATGTGCTTTTTATTCTGAACAGGAATAATTCTTCAGAAAATAATTTTTGCTTAATTGGGTCAACATTAGGAGTGATAAATGTGCCGTATAGTTTTTCTATATATGCAGTTTACATTTTATGTAATAGAAAAAGAAGCTTAGCAAAGAAACATGACCTTCCTAGGTAGAGCAAGCAGCAAAACAGTGATGCGTAATAATTGCAGTAGTATTTTAAAGCTCAGAAAGTCTTTGTTTTAATCCTGGGCAGTGACTAGGCCAAAAGATTTCATACTGCAGTTACCGCAAAGAAAGTGTGATGTAACATGGTGCAATATGCAGCCTTGAAGAGAGGATGTATGCAATAAGAATTTGAAGGACCGTTCCAATTAAGTTTAATTTGTTTCCCTGAAAGTTTGCAGATATATGGAAAATAAAGGGTTTCTCAGGTAATAATAATTAAAAAAATCCAGTGCCCTTTAGTTTGACACTATCATTCCCCCTCCATATTGTTTAGCATTTTCCTCTATTTGAGTTTTGCTAGATTGTAATATTTTGATGATATTTTTGGTTAAGTTTCTAATTCTGAGATTGTATCATTTACTCATGAACTTTTAAGTAATACTTGCCTAATATCTATATTCTCCAAAAAAAGAACATAAAAATTAAAGCAATTTGGGGGGGGGGGGCAGAGAAAGAATAGAAATGACATTTCAACCATTTGTTTTATATAAATTTAGAAAATTAATATATGCATCACTCTATAACTATTTTTGGAGTAAACATTATAAACAAATTAAGTATATAAAAGGCAGTGTTCCTTTGGATTGTAATAGGTTCTCTAACAACTAAACAGCCTAATTATACCGAAATTAACAGAAGGAAGCACAGGGAAACTATATTTATCAACAAATAAAGATACAAACCAATAATTTACAGCCAAAAAAATATTTACTTTCTTTGAGTCAGTGGAGCTGCTTACTGCACTGTCTCCAAGCCTAGTGAAAACTGAACGTTTTGAACCTAAAGGAAGACAGAAAAAATAACTCTTAATTACAAGAAATTAATACACCTCAGGTCATGAATGTAATTTGTTCCAAAGGTCAATTGCCATCCTGTATATTCATAAACAGAAACTATTTTCACATAGGAGTTAATGTAAACAGAATAATGCATTCTTGGACTATATAAATGGTTGCTTATTTATGTGTAGAAATTCATAGCACAAAACGATACCGAAAATTGTATTTGAAATAATAATAATAAAAAAATTTAAAAAAAAAAGACAAACACAAAAGTAAAATGATATTAAAAGTTTAATTTCACTGCGCCCATTCAAAGAAATGAGAGAATAAGCAGAAAGTGGCAAGAAAGTGAAAGGCAACGGATATTCCCTGGAGTTTCACTTCCATAAATACTTATAAGACATATTTGTTTTTTTGACTTTTTCTTCTGCTTTCTCTTTGAGAGCTGCTTGACAGTCACGGTGCCTCTGTTTCAATGATTTGATCTCAAATATTTTCCCAAAGTGATTTGTTTTCATAAATGTTGTTTCTGAAGTGGAACAAAGCACTGTCTTTAAAATTGCATATGCTATGGTTTGCTGCTGCATTATCCGAGATTATCATTCTATGAAAATTTGTGCTCTACTGCATTTTGTACACATTTCTCAATTGAAGAATTAGGATAATTTTCCTTTTCCCCTACCACTTCTTTTAAAAATATTTTTTCCATAACCACCTTCTTGCTGCTCAGGTAAGTTGCTCCAGCTCTTCAGAGAAGGAGCTAATTTTTTTCAACCACAAAAATTATCTCAGCATGAAAGAATTTTAAATCTTTTAAGTCAATGAATTTGCCAAAGGATACAGTATCACAGGTAATGAAAAAATCCTGAGAATTAATGTCCTTATTATTTTCTGTCTGCAGTACAATCTGGCCATAATTTCCTCAATGCAAAAAATCGCTGACTGTCAATGTGAATTAAGCAACAGAAAATATTGGGATAACGCTTTCCAGAATTCTCCAAGAGTTAACTCTGGGTCAGAAATCGCCTCAAAACACACACAAAAAAAATCATTTATTGTCAATCTGAGTGTTTTTCGTTCTCTATACGCAAACACACACACAAAAAAAGTTACAGAACAGATTTGTTCCTGATCCAAGGTTTTAACTGTATTTAAAATATTTCATATATTTGAATGCTGAAAAAGTTTCAAATTGCAAATCAAAATAATTCAAAAGAAATAAAAATATATAACAGATACTAAAATAGCAATGTTAAACTATATTACTATAAGGTATATTTTATGTTAATAAGCCAATTTTTTATGATTTTAATCAATATTATAATTTTTCCTTTTCATTAGCCTTCATCAGGATGCAAATGAGGTCAAACAGCATTTAAGGGGAGGGTTTGGAATGTTTTAGAGAGCTTTTGGCAGCAATGCTTACAGCTTTATTTTCTGATGTCCAACTAACTGTGCCTGTTAATATTTCAGCGGCAGCCATTCACTACACAGCATTAAAATACATCATTAAAATTTTTAGCTAGACTAGTTAGGTCAAATTTGTATAGTCTCCGACTATGATGATACTTTTAAACTGTAAATTCAATTTTGTTGTTTTACTACCAGCAGGTGGCAGAGGTATGCATAAGCAGTGCCTTCTGTTAAAATTCAAGTTTAATAAAAAGGTTTTCCTCTGAGGTCTTGGTGAATTTACATTAGATGGAACAATAATTTGCTTGTCAGTCTAATAGGGTCTCAATATCTGATTTAATATTATACAATTAGGACCCTATAACAGAATGGCAGACAGCTACATCAGGGTTCATACACATTTCTGCACACAGAAATCAAGTACTTTTAAGGACAATTAATGAAAAAAATTAAGGACCTATAAGGAAATGGGAAGTGAATAAATACAATTAAAAATATTATTTATGCCTGAATTTTACTTTTGTAATACCATCTTAAAAATAAAATAGATCTCTAAGTACTAAGCATTATTACTAAACATGAATTAATTAACATAATTATTGATAAGTTTGAGAATAAAATAAACTTTATGCAATTTATCAAGTAGCATTAAATATTTTGGTATTTTTCCGTTTTGCCAGCGCAAATCTTGCTAAGCAGACTTTATTGGTGACAACACACAGTATACACATAAAAAATTTTAACAAATGTTAGTTCTAAGAAATTTTTATTTTGAAGGTATGAACATTTTAATATCGTTTAAAATTTTGTAAAGAGACAATAAATTTGTAAAAAAGGCATTAATTTAAGAATTTACTATGCTTTCATGGTACATCCTGATTCGCAATTTCTTATCACGTGACCCCAAGTGATCTCATCTCACGTAAACTACGCTACAAAAATCTAATTCCCTCAGTAATTATCTACATTAATTTCAAGTTAAATCTTAATTGGAATACATTTTAAATGCAAGAATTATTCAATTAGTACGAATATACTCCGAATTATAAGACTGCAGTGACTTCGCAAGGCATTCTCTTAGAACTGATGAACCCTTGGACCTTGCCTTTTTTATATTTCGCCTGGGTGAGTAGTGTTGCATCCTAATGACTTGATTACCGCGAATGGCCTACCCTGCCTGGGTAAAAATTCTATGTAATTGTTACCAGTATGAAAGAAAAACATCAATCTGATGGCTGCAACTTGTTTTGCTTGAAACATTTATTTGTTTTTGTTGTTTTTTTTATCACTTGCGCCTGGAATGTACCATTTTTTACACTTATAATATTGGACAATTTCTGCTTTCTTTTTTTTTTTTTTTTTTGTCTCATTTTGTCACATATTTGGTCAGTCTAGAGGTTTAGTAAATAGCAGGTAGATTTTATATCAACTGGCATAGGTTAAAATGAGAAGTAAGATCATGATCAACATGATTCATAACAAAAGACTGAATACTGTCACCGCTGCTGCTTGTCTTGAGAGAGACCTGCTGATTAGAATAAACCTGAAAGGCCTGATGTAGGCATGGTTGGCAAGTGTAATTTGTCAACCTCTCCACAATGTACCTATGAGGGTTTACTTGATCTGGTAAGGGTCATTCCCACTGGGCTTTATTTGAGGTAACGGAGACAATAGACGTAGCCGAGCCATCTCCAAAACCAGTCAGAGGGTAGCAAGTTAAAAAATCTGAACTGCAGGCATAACGGAGCTAGTCGACACAGGGAACTGACTCCGTTAGCTCAGCTAAACCCCAGTGGGAACCACCCTGTAATGTTAAATAGTCCAAAACCCCCAACAGAAGTGAAGCAAATTATTGCTATGGCTAAAAGTAATTACAATATCAGACAAAGGTTTTAAATACCTTATTTGAAAATTAGACATAAGGCATGTTCTGATGCTAACAAAATCATTACAGCTCATGGTTTAATTAAACAAGACAGTCTAATCAAAAAAATAGCTAGTGGTCAAAGATTACACATTTAATTTTAATTAATCTGGATCAGTAACTCTATCATTGAGGAAACAAATGGGAATTATAGTAAAGGCTGAAATCAAAAACAATTGTTAGTACAAATATAACTGCACATATCTTTAAAGAATAATTTTCTTATGAATCAGTTTCTTTCTTCATATTCTTTCCATTTTTTCTTTGGATTTAATTAAGGATTTCTGTTATTCTAATAAACACTAAATGCTTTAGAATGTATAGAAAAAGTGGCTAATTTTATTTCTTTAGAAATATGAACATTCAAAAGAAATATGAAATATATATAATAAAAACTAGTTACAGAGCTGGTGGTGGCAGAATTTTTAGAATTTAATGACAGACTGAACAACAAAACCTAGAAGTTGCAAAACTTTTAGAATTTAAAGCAGGCATTGGAATCAGTATTTAGAAAGGCACTAGGCAACAGAATTTAGAATCAACAGAGATTGCATCAGGTGGGAAAATGTGTACCATCTCTGTGTATGATGCATTAAGACATATTAGATGAATCTTTTAAATTGTAAGTTTTCAATTTCTTTATTAATAAAAAAATTCCTTTCTATAATGCCTGTCTATGTGATAAGATTAGAAGCATTTTTGATATTTTCCATGCTTGTGTACAGTAAAAAATAGAGAAAATAAAGGGAAGATAAAAAGTGATGTCTAGTGAAAAGTAGAGAAATAATGGGATGTTACAAAAAAGATTCTACTATCAGAAGTAAAACGTTCAAATAACTATGTTTTCATTGTTCTTCCAGACTTCTCCAAAAAGTAAGAAACTCATTGCAAACTTTCTGTAAAATACCTCCATTACGTGTTGATACCATGGAGACATTTTTCATTTTGTCACATAGTTCTCGAACATTCTACAAACGTGTGTCTATAAATATTGCCTTCAAATCCTACTAAAATTTCCAAGCTGCAATGTCTAAACCCCCCCCAAAAAAAAACTTACCCCTACCAATTCTCTAACAGCAAAAAGCCAGAAATATTTAGGGAAAAAGTGTAAAAGTGTAAAATTAATTTGATAGAGAGAAAACTGATGCATATTCTGAGAATTTATAATATTCTGAGACAATTACATGGGACAAACTCTTACTATGAAAAATTAAAAAGAAGACTTTTTAAGTATTTACATAGCTAAATTTGCGTTTGCTAACAGCTGTTTTGTAAATTGTGCTTTTATAGCATTATACCTTGTTTATTTTTCAAATTCAAAATACTGTATAATAAGGTGCCAAAATGAAACTTTATAATATGACAGCGAAAAATAAAAATGTTTATTTATTAACATTATTTAAGGTTAATATAATTTCAATAATTACCATTATTTACGAAATTTATTAATGTTATGAGGTTTTAAAAAATCATCGAAAAATCCTCAGATGGACTCGTTAATTAATTTCCATAGAAACTGATTTTCAAAATCGCCAATTTAGAACCATTAAATAAAACTTCACCCAAAAGTGAAAACTTGTTTTAGAAAACAACTTTAAGAAAAAAGAATTTCGATATGGTTTCACTTCTTGCTTAGAAACTCAAGTAGTATCATTTATATT